GTGGGCCCACAGGCCAGGAGCGTAGATGCTCTGATAGCATGTGAAAAATGAGGAATGAAGAAGAGGGTTTCACTAGCAAGCAGTTGAGTACATATAGCAAACCCTAAATTGGGCTGTACTCACTATTGAGTACCCCACTGCAGGCTAGACAATTATAACATTCTGACAAGTAAAGCCAGCATAAGCCGTCGTACTCTCACACAGATCTCGTGCAGACTGCCCTGTAAGAAAGTTATGCTGAAGTCAAGAGAGTAAAACTCGTAGTCACGCTGAGCGGCGATGTGCAGCAGCGCCCGAAGAGTGGTCATCTTTGGGGTGGGGGATAAGGTCTGGAAGAAGCCAACTCCGTGTCGATGTGTAAAGCCTCATACAACGTAACGAGCCTCGAAGGCAGACGGATAACCGGGCGGCCGCTTCACCCTGAAAATCCACATGCCATCGACTATGTTCGCCCTAGGAGAGGAAACCGCGTCGACGTAAGAGCTTGTGGACATCCAGGATGCCATCTCTGCAACCATGGCTGTCCGCCACTGAGAGGAGTAGGGACCCGTAACCGCCTTTGCGTAAGAGCGCGGGGTCGAGATGTCTGGTACATCCGGGACTGCCCCGGGTGCAAGCAGCATGGACACGAGATGAGGTACAGCAGCTGCAAGACACTCAACGTCCTCCTGCCTGTCCTCAAGGACGTCCGTGCCAAGAGCACACTCACCCCCGACGGACGGAGGACAGTCAGACTCAGACTCAGCAAAGTCAACAAGCTCAGCAACAAGGGCAGACGCAGCAGTGGACTCAAACGAAGGGTAAGTGACAACAGTGGCTAGAAGACGTGTAACAGTTAGACTGGTAGCACGAACTAAGTCAGGGATAGAGGACGCAAGAGGAGACGGCAGAGAAACTCGCAGTGAAACAGAGGAAGGACGAAGTTTCATAAGGTGAGTGCTGGGGACAGGAGGAGGACGCGGACGCGGAACACGACGACCAGTGCAAACAGCGCGTAGAGGCGAGGCAGGACGAGACGCAGGCTCACGATGCTCTGTAAGAGAGTCTATCTGCTCAGTGTAAGGAGAAGGAGCAAGCAGTGGGGAGGCTAGCTGAAACTGTGGCTGCGGCTGGTCACGCGGTGGACTTAGTAGAGGTGGAGTAAGGTCAGTACAAGACGGGAGACTAAGAACCTTGCGAGGCAGTGGAACGAAGTACGGTCGTGGCTGCACAGTGCCTCCAGCACCAGTACCGACAGCTGCAGCACCCCCAGCGACAGCACCTCCAGCTCCAAGGTCTCCAGCTCCAGTGCTTGCAGTACCACCAGCTCCAGCAGCTCCAGTACCTCTAGTACGAGCACCTCCGGGACTAGCACCTCCAGCACTTCCAGCACCTCCAGCACAAGCACCTCCAGGACCAGCAGCTCCAGCGCCTCCACCTCCAGTGCCTCCAGCAGCAGTGTCTCCAGTGGCATGCCCCCCAGCTCCAGCAGCGCCACTCCGAAGGCAGGTGCGCCGAGCCAACCACTCGCACAGCTGCAATGGAGAAAGAGGCTCCCGCCGTAATGAGGCACCCGAAGGACCTCCAGCAGATACAGTAACGCTAGGCTCAGCACCTCCAGACTCAAAGCACCCAGGCTCCGCACCCTCAGGCTCAACACCCCTAGGCTCCGCACCCTCAGGCTCAGCACCTCCAGGCTCCACACGCTCAGGCCCAGCAACCCCAGACTCAGCAACCCCAGGCTCAGCATCCCCAGGCTCCGCAAACTCAGGCTCAGTACCCCACGACGCAGCACCCCTAGCAGCACCCCCCCCCCAGCAGCACCAGAGTCGACAGCTACCTCGACAGGCTCAGCCAAGGGGAGTGGATCTACCTGAGACACACCTGAAGGAGCAGGACCCTGAGGGGGGAGGGGTTCTACCTGAGAGGGACCTGGTGCGAGGAAGAGCGGCGAGGGGGGGAGAGGAGCAGTGCGGTAGGGGAAGAGACGGTAAAAAGAAACCGACTCGTCAAACGTGACGTCCTGAGAGGGCAGGACACGGCGCGAGGTGGGGTGGTAAAACTGCCAGCCAGGCGCGTTAGGGGGAAAGCCAAGGAAGACACAGAGAATGGCGTGGGAGGAGAGCTTGTCCGTGGAGGTATCGCGGTCAAAGGCACGACTGCCCCAGACCCGGAACACCGACGCATCGCCAACCTCCCCCATCCAACGCAGTGTAGGCGAGGTCTCCGGCAAGGAGACACGGGGTCAGAGCTCGAGCTGATGCGCAGCGTACCGGACCGCAAACGGCCACAGAAAATGGGGAGCAACCGCATGGATCATGGAGTTCCATGACTAAGCCAGTGCAGCCCTTAGCAACCCCATTCTGTTGCGGAGAGGCTGGAAGCGTGAACGACTGGCGGATGCCCTCCCCATGACAAAAGTCCCGCAAGAGGTCAGAGGCAAACTCACCACCTCTGTCAGAGTGCAGACGCAGGACAGGAAGGTCCGCGTGGAACCGCTCGCAGAGCTGGAGACGATCAGCGCGGATCCAGGGGATCAAAACATCAGGGACCTCCCCCTTACTGCGCAAGGGGAAGGCAGTGGTGCAACGCGGATAGTCGTCAACAACCAGCACAAAGTATCGCTCGCGGCCCTGTCCACGGACGCGGGCTGGGCCCCACACATCCATGTGGAGAGTCTGCAAGGGAGCAGTCGTCGAGGGAAACGAGGAGTGAGGAGCGACGCGCTGCCGCCCCTCGACACAGGGAAGGCAGGGAGGGGCAGGCGAGGGTGGGAGGGGAGGCAGAGACCTGGGAAGACCAGAGACAAAGAGGCGGGAGTGCATGCCACGCAGGCGTGGCAGGGAGGGGTGACCAAGGCAGTGGTGCCAAAGGAGAGTCTGGTGCAACAGGTGGCGACACGAACAGGGGGCTGCTAGCTGACCTGATGCGGACGTAGACGCAGCTATCTGAGGAGGCTTAATCGTGGTATAGACCAGTGGCCAGGTGACGGCCAGTCCGGGAGCACGTATAGATCGCCACACGCTGTCCTCCAGGGGTAAAGGTATCAACCCATTCATCCTGAAAGACTGCGTTGCTCACCAAGTTCGTAGAGAACGATGGGAGGTGGAGACCTTGTTAGAGACCAAGGACGGAGTCTAGAACGTTTAAGGGCCGAAATATCTCAAAATCGTTTTTTTCTATAACTCTGGACAGAAAACTCGATTCCACAAGAAACGTCGTCGACGAAAAGTTCACCGTCCAAACTTCACGAAACTTAGATATGTTGTAGCCCTAGACCATGGCTACAATTTCCAATTTTAATCGCACGAAAAGATGAAGTTTTTTTTTTTTTTTTTTTAGAAATGAATTTCGGCGCACTAGGGGGTATGCTGCCATAACATTTTAACTCAATCACAATTGTTTCACAAGTTCACACAAGAAAGTTAGAGTAGCAAGAACCAGGTTGGAGGGAAGAGGAGGACGAGAGGGAAGGTCCCCAAGGAGTCCCCAACCAAGGAAACCCCATAAGCACATCAAATCCCCTCCCTATAGCAACCCGACTTTTACTTTTGTCACTTTCCCAACCTCCACAATCCACCTCACCCAAGTTGGCCACACTTGCCAACCCAATTTGGTTTCTCCCAACCACTTGGCAGCATCAACAGTGATGGGGACGAATTTCCTAACCCCCAAAAGTCTGTACCCCATATTGAGTCACTTCACAACTTCCCAAAGTCGTCGCATCCCAATCAAAACTTCGAACGAACATAACTTCGTCGTTCTTGCTCCGATCGCGACGATTCTTGGTTCGTCGGAAAGCTCTTGAGCAGAGGAGTCACTTCAAACATCTGCACAAGCCAAATGGTATTCACACACACTCAGAAGTTCCAAACCACACCAAGCACAAATTCTTGCACACGCTCACACCACGCATGCACAAACATATGATGGGAGGCAGACAGACGTAAATACAAGTGATAGCATCACATAATAGACCTGACAATGAGCCAGACGGAACCGCCGAACATTGGATAACAGTGGAGGAACGTGCAAGAACCGGCCCCCAAGAGGGGTTAGCTGAAGAGATTGCAACCGGTGCTGGGAGTGGTGTGATTGTGGTGCTGTCCCGAAAGAAGCAGCGTGAAGTACTTGAGTCAAGCGTGAAATTGTGCAAGGCCTCAGCAGGTGTAGTAGCAGGAAGAGCAGACTCACTAGCACCTAGAGTAGCAGCCTCTATACCTGGGTCGGACGGCACACACAGGTAACAGTCACCCTCAGCACTAACAGCCAAAGCATACATGGCAGCAAGGATAGCATCATAGTCAAGAGCAAAGATATCCACACCCTGCCTAAGCAGCTCTAGCCAGCGGGGGAGCTCAGTCGCGTCGGGAAACTCTGCGCGCCAGGCGTCGTCAAGACGGGAGAAGCAGCGGGACTCTGTGTGACCAGCCTTCCCACATGTCTGACCAACGTGGTCACCTGTGCGAATGACGTACTGGCAGCGAACACTACCCCCAAACGCCCCACGTTGAGCAAACCACTTACGAAGCTCCTGGGGCGTAGGGGTCTCACGCGGACGCTGCTGCTGCTGCCTCTGAACACCGCCAGCACCTCCAGCACCTTGAGCTCCGCCGCCACCCCGACCACCACCACTGCCGCCGCCACCACTCTCACTGCCGCCACCTCCACCGCCACCAACGCCTCCACTCCCACCACCACTCCCTTCGCCACCACCGCCACCTCCACCGCCTCCACCGCCCCCACCACCGCCTCCACCGCTGCCACCCCCACCACCCTTGCCTCCCTTGCCCCTGTCGCTGCGGCGCCTCCTACTAGGAGCAGACGCAGCCCTGACCTTTTCAACACGAAGGAAGTCAACAGCAGCAGCTGAAGCGTAGGAGGGGGCAAGGGGGGAGGGGGAACACCCCTCAAAGAAGGGAGTGCGACGAGTGCCACGAGCAGCACCTACAGCGACCATGCTAGTCTCAGCAGCAAGGAGGTGCTTCTCGAGCAGGTTGACAGTGAGGACCGTGGGGTCCATGGTGAGAAACAGGTCCCTGACTGCGCTAAGAGAGCCAGGGAGGCGGGTGACGATGAAGTAGAGAGCGATGTACATAGGGGGAGGGTTCTGTTTAGAAACTTGGTAGGAAGTGTTGGAGTAGGCTAGAGCTCGCTCTGGCATTTATCCTAGTAATCTGTTGTTATTTCGCCATGTTTAGAGCGAGTTACACTTTCGGTTCAGTTTAGGTTCATTTCTTAGTTTCTAGCACAAACTAAACACACCCTAAGTTCAATTAGGGTTTCATACATTTGTATCTCGACACTCTTTCCTAGTACCGATTCTCTCGCTACCTTCTCTCTTCCTAGCCATGACTACCATACTCTCAGCCTTCACATGGTATCTAGAGCCAAACCCTTGGCGTTTTGTCCCAATCTATATCTCTTAGTACGGTTTAGGCCTTAGCATCCGGCGCGCCACTCTTTTTCCTTGTCGAAAATTATTTTTCCTACTATTTCGACCCTTAAATTTCTTCTTATTATTCAATCACGGTACCTTCTATCCATCGCCCGAGGCCTCCCTGCCTAGTTACGCGCCCCGTCCCCTAGTCGCGCGCCCTGTCCCGTCGCCGCGCCGCCCCCCCCCTGCCCCACCTCGTCGCGAGCCCTACCCACCGCCACGTCGCGCGCCCTGCCCGTCGTCGACGTGCGCAGCTGTCCCGCCGTCGACGCGCGCGGCCTCCCCGCCGTCGACGCCTGCGCGCGTGTTTTGCCCACCGCCCTCCATCTCCCCGGCCACCCTTCCCTCCTCGCGGCCACCCTCCCATACCCTCTCGTGGGCGGCCTGCGTCACCTCCCTGCAGGCGCCTTCCCCTCCCCTCGTGGTGCGCCTTCTTCTGCCGTTTCTGCACCACCTCCTCCTTCTCCCCTCACCCCATCCGCCTCTTCACCCTCCTCCTCCTCCTCCTCTCCTCATTCTTTCCTCCCTTCCGTGCCTCTCCTCCCTTCCTCCACCTCCTTCCCCTCCACATCTGCCACCTGGCTGCGTATTACTACTTGCCACTTGGTGATCGTGACCCTACTTCCTCCCCACAATCCGCTCCTTCACCCTCCTCCTCCTCTTCTCTCTCCCTCTGTTTCTCCCGCCCTCTCACCTCTTCCTCCGCCTCTCTTCTCTCCCTAACTGCTGCAGCTGGTCGCTGTCCGTGTTTCGTCGCCTTCCACACCTTTCCTCCTCTTCTTCTTTCTCCCCTCAGCGGCGCAGCAGCAGACTACCCCGCCGCTATCCCTCCTCCTCGTATTTCTCCCCTTAGCGGCGCAGCAGCAGACTACTTCGCAGCTATCCCTCCTCCTTTTGTTTCTCCCCTCAGCGGCGCAGCAGCAGACTACTTCGCCGCTATCCCTCCTCCTCTTGTTTCTCCCCTCAACGGCGCAGCAGCAGACTACTTCGCCGCTATCCCTCCTCTTGTTTCTCCCCTCAGCGGCGCAGCAGCAGACTACTTCGCCGCTATCCCTCCTCCTCTTGTTTCTCCCCTCAGCGGCACAGCAGCAGACTACTTTGCCGCTATCCCTCCTCCTTGTATTTCTCCCCTCAGCAGCGCAGCAGCAGACTACCCCGCCATTATCCCTCCTCCTCTTATGTCTCCCCTCAGCGGCGCAGCAGCAGACTACTTCGCTGCCATCCCTCCTCCTCGTATTTCTCCCCTCAACGGCTCAGCAGCTGACTACCTCACCCCTATTCCTCCTCTTTTCTCTCCCCACAACTGCTTTATTGCTATTCCCTCCCCCATATGGGGCCTCTTCTCACTCTTACCTCTCTTCCTCTGCGCTTCCGCCCTCATCCTCCTTCTACCGTGCCTCCTCTCCTACCCTTGCCTTCCTTATTCTCCGCTCCCTTCGCTGCCCCTTCCTCCCCTTGCACCTCTCCTCCTTGTAGCTGGACCTCCCCTCTTCTCCACTCCTCTGCTTTGATTCCGCTGTCCCATCAGCCTCACCACTCTTCTGCCGCTGTCTCCTCAGGTATTGGTTCTCTGGTCTCTGTCTTCAGTGTGACCATGCCCTCTCAGGATAGCATCCTTGGTGCTTCTCCTCTTATGGACCCTCGCTTTCTCGTTCCATTTTCTCCACCGCTTCTAAGCACTGCTTCTCAATTTCCCAGCCCTACGGCTGCCGCTCTCTCACTTCCTCGCACCTTGGATTTTGTCCTTGACAGTGCTGCTACTGACTCTGTCTTTCGTGATGCTGGTGTTCTTCGCAATTTTCCTCGTCCCCTCTCTATTGATGGGGCTGGGGAGACCATGACCATGATCTGCACAGGCACTTCCTCTCTTCCCTGTCCTGTCTCTCCCTCTGGCGCTGTTACTTGCCTTTATGTTCCCTCTTGCCGTCATAACCTCCTATCCCTTCCTGCCCTCCAACGCCTCGGTGTGCGAGCGCTCTTCCCCGCAGGTGCACTCTATTGTGATCTTCATTACCACGACCGGCACCTCGCTCGTTTCACCCTTTCCCCTACTACTCGCCTCTACACCATTCGTGTTCCCATCCCCTCATCTGTCAATCACACTTCCTCCTCTTCTGCCCCTTCCGTCTCCTCTTGCGACTGTCGCTCTCTCACCCAACCTACCCTTCTTCTCCATCATCGCCTTGGCCACCCCAACTTCCCTCTCCTTTGCAGCATAGTCAGTTCGAAGCTGCTTCATGATCTCCCTTCCTCTCTCCCGCCCCTTCCCCCCTCTCCCGCTACTCCATGCATCCCTTGTGTTCAGGCCAAGCTGTCCGAATCTCCTCATCCTTCTTCCCCTTCTGCCTCCCCCAAACCCCTTGATCTTGTACATATGGACCTATGGGGTCCCTCTCCCATTGCCTCCCGTCAGGGTCATCGTTACTTTCTCCTTCTTGTTGATGACCACTCTCGCTTTGCCACTGTCTATCCCCTCCGTGCCAAATCTGACGCCCCCTCCCTCATCATTCGTTGGGCTGAGCAGGCGCGCCTTCGCTTTGGCCGTCCTGTCGTACGCCTCCACTATGATGGAGGTGGCGAGTTCTTTAACCACTCTCTCTCTTCTTACTGCTCCTCTCATGGCATTCGCCAAACCTCCACCCTTCCGCATACTCCCGAACAGAATGGTATTGCCGAGCGTCGTATTCGCACTCTCATGGAGATCACTCGCTGTCTCCTTACTCATGCCTCTGCTCCACACTCTCTTTGGAGATACGCTCTTGTTAATGCCACTCTTCTTTCCAACCTTCGCCGTCATCCCCTTCGCCCTTCCATTACACCCTTCCAGCTCTGGACTGGCCGCCAACCCTCCGCCCGCCCTCTTCGGGTGTGGGGCTGTGTCGCTCATGTCCTCATCAATCCCGCCGATCGAGCACGTCAGGGTGGGAAGCTCGCTCCCAAGACGCAGCTCTGTGCGTTCATTGGTATCAACGCTGACTGTCCTGGCTACCTTTTCTATGCTCCCTCCTCTCAGCAGCTCATTCGCAGCCAGGATGTTATCTTTGATGAGACTCGTTCTCCATTCGTCACCCCCCCTCCCACCCCTCCTCCTCCCTCTCTTCGTTGGTCTGACTTTGATCCGCTGCCCTCTGCTCCTCCCTCTCCTTCTCCCCTTCTTCCTGCCCTTGCTCCGCCTCCCCTCTCTGCCCCCTCTACCTCCCCCTCTGCTGTCATCTTTGGCACCTCTCATCCTGCCTCTTCCTCTTCTGCTCCCATGCCCTCTCCTTCACAACATCCTTCTCCTCTCCCTCCTGCTCCTGCTTCCCCACCCTCTCCCTCATCACCTCCTTCTGCTACCCTTCCTTCAGCTCCTTCTCCTCCACCTTCTCCCCATCTCACCCGCTCCATGACCCGTGCAATGTCCAATTTTCAACACTCTGCTCTCTTTACACGTCTCTCTCCCTCTCCAAACGTCGATCTTCTCGAAGATCGCTTTGAGGAGATTTTCTCTGTTCATCCTGTCTCACCCCTCCTTTGTGTCTGGCGACTTCTCCAATTCTCCCACTCTTCTCTCCGTTGACATTGCCGCTATTCCCACCCCTCAGACCTATTCCGAGGCAGTGTCTGGCTTTCATGCAACTGAGTGGATGTCTGCCATCATTGCCGAGTGTGAGGCATTCACCAGGACTCACTCTTACGTTGACTCTGTCCCCCCCCCTGGCGCCACCATTGTCAAGGGCAAGTGGGTCTTTCGTGTCAAACAGCTGCCTGGGGAGCTCCCTACCTTCAAAGCCCGTTACTGCGCCAAAGGCTTCACCCAACGTGAAGGCATTGACTACTTTGCCACTTACTCCCCCACTGCCCGTCTCCCCACTCTTTGCCTCCTTCTCGATCTAGGCGCTCGCTGGAATTGGGAGATTCACTCTATGGACGTCTCCAATGCCTTTCTACAGGGCGAGCTACATGAACGCATCTTCCTTGAGCGCCCTGCTGGCTTCCCTCGCCCGTTCCCTCCAGGCACTGTCTGGGAGCTGAAGCGCCCTAAGTATGGTCTTAGGCAGGCCCCTCGCGAGTGGCATGCCAAGCTCGCTTCCACTCTTCTCTCTCTTGGCTTCTCCACCTCCTCTTCCGACCCCAGTCTCTCATTCGCACTTCCCCTCGCAGGCTTTACGTTCTTGCCTACGTCGATGACTTGGTGCTCCTCGCTGAAGATTCTGCCGACCTTGCCGCTGTCAAGCAGGCCCTCCAGGCGTGACTCCTGTGCAAGGATCTCGGCGAGCTTCATCATTACCTCGGCATGGAGATCCGTCGTGATCGTGCTGCACGCACCATCTCTCTCTCTCAATCCTTCTACATCCACTCCATTCTTGATCGCTTTGAAATGTCGCAGGCCAAGCCAGTTTCCACTCCTCTTCCCGCTAACCATCAACTTTCTGCCCCTGCCGTTCCCGCTCCCTCCTCAGAACTGCGACCCTATCCTGAGCTCGTTGGGTCGCTCATGTATGCTATGATGTGCACTCGCCCCGATCTTGCTTACCCCCTCAGTGTCCTCTCTCGTTTCGTTGGCCTTGGTCGCCACACTGACATGCACTGGGCGGCTGCCAAGCGCGTTCTTCGCTATCTCCGCGCTACCTTTGATCTTGCACTCACTCTTGGTGGCTCTTCTCCCCCCGTTCTTTCCGGTTACAGTGATTCCTCCTACGCTGATTCTCGCCCTGATCGCCGCTCCTCTCGGGGTTATGGTTTTACTCTTGGCAGTGGCCTCATCGGCTGGCACTCCACTCGTTCACCCTCTGTCTGCCTTTCCACCTGCGAGGCTGAGTTGTACGCAGACGCGCTGGCGGCTCAGTAAGCTCGCTGGCTCTCGTTTCTCCTTGCTGAGCTTGGTCACTCTCAGCCCTCTGTGACGCTTTCCTGTGACAGTGCGAGCATGATTCACCTCACTCAAAATCCTGTCTATCACGCTCGCAGCAAACACATTGAGGTCCGCTACTTCTTCGTGCGCAAGCTGGTGCAGTCTGGCTTCCTCTGCCTTCGCAAGGTGGCCGCTACTGCCACACCGTTTCTACGTGCGCGCGCTTGGGCTCACTCGTCTCGCCACTTCTGAGGGTGTTCCCGTTCGCTAGGTTTTTTTGTTCTAGAGCTTCACCTAGCCTGTGGGTGTGTTGGAGTAGGCTAGAGCTCGCTCTGGCATTTATCCTAGTAATCTGTTGTTATTTCGCCATGTTTAGAGCGAGTTACACTTTCGGTTCAGTTTAGGTTCATTTCTTAGTTTCTAGCACAAACTGAACACACCCTAAGTTCAAGTAGGGTTTCATACATTTGTATCTCGACACTCTTTCCTAGTACCAATTCTCTCGCTACCTTCTCTCCTCCTAGCCATGGCTACCATACTCTCAGCCTTAACAGGAAGTGCGGCGCGGTAGCGAGTGTCACTAGTGCGAAGGTGGGTGATGAGGTCGTTGACTGTGGCAAAGGCGGACAGCTCAGAAAAGAGGTAGGGCAGTACAAGGCAGCCAAGAGCAGCAATGGCAGGGGAGGATTATCGAGCGAATACAGCGTCGTACAGGGCTTTAGCAGTCTTGTGCTGGCCAAAGTGGGCGCGTTCGGCTAACGGTAAGTGGTTGCGAACGGCTAGGCGAGGAGCAGCGTCACGGGTAAGCCACTGTGAGCAAGTCGCACTGTCAGCTGTGTCGGGAGGGGCAAGAGAGGCTCCAAACGTGTGGTCAAGCAACGAAACGCTG